TGGGTGTGGCGCGTTGGATTTAGTGTTTTAATTAGGGGCCTTCACAATTAGACTGGGGTTTTGGTGCCCATGATATTATACTTATAATAAGGAGCCCCCAAGATAGTATAGGTCATTATTTGGGCCCCTATATTAATTCCCAAGCCCTAAACCATATACCCTAATTTCTAAGCCTTCTAAACCCTGACTGTCTACTACATTATCCGGCATGAAGTCTCAAAGCCCGAGATTCTCCAAGGCAGAAGCCGCAGGATCAAGGACCGCTGTGGCAAAGCCCGGCACCAAGTCCTCAATCCTTGGCTGCCCCGATATAGGGGCCTGAATAATCAGAATAGGGTTTCTTTTCAAGGTTTCCTTATAAAAAGATACTATAAAGGCTACTATAAGGGCTTAGGGTATAGGGGTCTTAATAATTAGAATAGGGCTTTGGGGTACATTCTACTTCAGTTTTTAATAAGGAACCCCCAAAGCCCTATTCCAATTATTAAGGCCCCTACATCACTCGTTTTATTCAGGACAGCCACATGCTCACAGACTCGCACACGTGTACTGTACAAATTAAACCCGAAAAAGATAAATGTCGGCTTGTATGATCGGGTGCACTCATATGTATGATTGTCTGCATGTGTACGTCATTGCTGCATGCTGGCGCTTGGAAGAACTTACAGATTCGATTTTGTCGAAGTCAGCAGATGTGCTGAAGAAAACATAGGTTACGGTTACACTGATATCCGCACACAGATATATTGTCAGGTAGCCACCAAGTTGAGACATACAGAAACATTAAACATATAAGTTCAGTGGACAATGGGGTTGAAAGGTTTGCGAACGAACCCTTTCGCCCCTTCCACGCTTCATGTGCTTCGATCGAAACATTTGCTTCTTTGTGTTTTGTCAAAAGGGAGCATCAGAATGTCTAATTCCCAGAATGAATGATGGTCATGCGCAGACCCTACCACTACCTGGTGGGTGACAGACCCATTCGTTCAGATAGAACCCTATCCAATCTTGGAAAGGAGATGGTGGGTGTCCCAGACTCTGATGGATGACTCCGCCCCCAAAAAACATGGCTCCAACAGAGCACGTACATGCTTGTCACGTTTCGTTTCCATGCACCGATATACTGACATGTAAGCCGCCACCTTGAGACATGCAAAACCATGCAGAGTCATTCGGGCCAGGGGGGTGACTTGAGGGATGACTCTGCCCCCCAAAAGCCCTTCTCTAACAGGGCACCGCCGAGAAGAGCACTTTCATCCCAAGGCTGGGGATGGTTGCTTTCTAAAGTCACAAATTCCGGGAAAACCGAAACAACGAAGGGAGTAAGTGGATTTAGGGTTTAGGGTTTAGGGGTTTAGGGTTTAGGGCACCCTACATCCTGTAAGCCCTACAAACCCTTGCGCCCCTGAACTCTGAAGCAGTCATGAGTCATTCTGATCGGAAGGCCTCGGAGATGGATGCTCTGCAGGTTCAGCAACAAGCGGTAGTGGTGGAAATCACCCTCCAGAAGGTAGGAGTGGAGCTTTTTTCGTAACATGGTGTCGATGATTGGTAGAAGGCTTTGTCGATCTTCATCAAAAGTGAACTCGCCTTCACCGACTGGACTGTGCACCCAATCCCAGGTAGGAGCCAAAAACTGATGCACAGAGCTCTGAATCTCGATGCAATAGCCCTTGCTCGCCTGTGCACTAAACCCTAAACCCTAATCCCTAAACCCTAAACTTAAACTCTAAAACCTTAAACCCTCGCCTGTGCACTGAGTTCCCGGGTAGCACGCTCAAGGCGGCACCAACCTCGAGATTCCCAAGATCGCTTGGAAAGTAGCCCCTGGTTCTCGCAGTGATGAACATGAGGGCAAAGGATCACGAAGAACACCGCCTTGTCTACGTAGGCAGGGATGCTGGAGATGGCAAGTTCCCGATCTTGGAGAGAGTCTTGCGGACAGGCGAAGTAGTCGTACCAGATGAAGAGCGGCTTAGAGCGTAACTCCTCGGCTGGTAGGTTCGTCTGCTGCCCTGTGTACAACTCGATGCTGACAGCCGCAGAGATGGTCGTCTCCCCCGACAGTGCTTTCCTGAGTGCACCCTGCAAGACCTTGGAGGTTCCGAAAATACGGGGTGCCTTTTTTTGGGGGGTCCCATAATAGGGATCCTACTATGTAGGGTACTACATTAGGGTCCCCTATTTTCGGACACCACCACCTTGAACTGATCGAACTTGGGATCGGGGTGGTCCATGGCAGCCCACTGATGCGACACGAACATTGCATGTCCTGGGCTGGATATGGAAGAGAAGCGAAACAGGTAACTCTGTTCCTCCTGAGAACTCTGCTGTTGAAAACTACATGACAGTTTCAAGAACGCCAAGCATTCTCTAAACCCTAAACCCTGGCCCTAAACACCTAAACCCTAAGCCCTAAACTCTTAAACCCGAAACTCCTAAACCCCAAGCCCTAAACCCGCAGCCTAGTCTCCCTTGGGATGGTCAAACTCCGTGAGCAATCCGTCCGCGAGGAGCTCCTCATGTGGCCGAAGGCTCGTCATTCGCAGGAGGGCGTCCACTGGTACCACCTGCAACTTCAGGGTTTAGGGGTTTAGGGTTTAGGGTTTAGGGTTTAGGGTTTAGGGGTTTAGGGTTTAGGGGTTTGGGGTTTAGGGTTTAGGGTTTAAGGCTTAGGGTTCTACTGGGGCCAGTTGCAGGGAAGTAAATAAGACTAGGACAAGTAAGCGATAGTAGTACTAGAAGTAGTCCTGTTGCTTAGTCGTCGTGGCAGAAGTGATAGTAGTAGTAGTAGTAGTAGTAGTAGTAGTAGTGGTAGTAGTAGTAACAGGGAAGTAGGAGGAGGAGTACGGGTTCGCAATCAACAGAAGCTTTTGGACCGATCCGGACGTACATCGGAAAGAGCTGTAAGTCGCTAATCGTGATCCTTGCCGCTTTGGCCCGGAGTTGCGAAGCATAGGTCTCCAAGCTCGTGGCCGGCTCTTCTGCGAAACAAGTTGTCCACATGGCAACAAGGGCAAAAAGGAGCAGATACAGGGTGAAGCTACTTCAAAACCTTCGGATGCTCAGATCGCTTCACCTGTTGAGCATCAAATGCAACGGCAAGAGGTCACATGCAGCTGTCGAGCATGGCCGTTCAAAGGTTCTAACTGTGACTGAGCCTTCGACAAGGGGTACCTTATTTAAGGGTTCTTGTGATACGGATTCGGATCCCACTCTGAGTTCTATACTTATACTGGGATCTCTCATCTAGAAACGGATCTCGTCATTCTTAATCCCTATTCTGTAGTAAGAGCTCGGTTTTGCTTCTCATGCCATCAGACAACATACATTGGGCTGGAGAAGGACCCTGCAAGACGATTAGAGCAACTCCAGGCAATGTAAGCCCCAAGCCATAGCGCCTCAGCCCCAAACCGAAAACATGTTTTAAACTCTCCGACTGCGCTCACCCAACATTGAGATTCCGGTTATGTTGGACGTGCACGAATCCCCAAACCCTACACCCGAAACCATAAACACAAACTCCACACCCTAAGCCCTCATCCTACATACACCTGCTGTCTCCTCCGCAAGGAGAGTCTTCGTCTTGGAGCTAACTTCTTTGTCGATTCAAGGTGTGAGTGTGTATACAGAGCTTCACAGATTTGTGAGCTGAGCTTATGTAGTACTCTAGGGCGGAGGGTGGAGCCGAAAATATACCGAAACCAGAAAACCTGCTCGGAACTGTGAGGTAGCTAGCCTAGCTGCTTGTTTATAGAGCTCATTAGGGCTAAGCCCCAAACCTCAAGCCCGTCACTCGAAGATCCTAGCCCTGAATCTAAGGAGGAGCCCCACGCACCCGTAAAAACCCAAACCTTAAGCGCCAAATCTTAGACCTAATCTTGAACCTAAACCTTATACCCGAAAACCCCCAAACCCTAAACCCTGCTAAGAGGAGCTTTTATCATGTGCTGAAGTCCTTGGTGCGGAGGCTGCCAATCCCCGGAGGCGACGGCGCCGAGCCACAAGGCGCCACAAAAAGATTGGTTTAGGGCTTATAGCTTAGGGTTCAGGGTTTAGGGTATATAATAGGCCAAAGGATAGGTTTAGGGTTCAGGGTTTATAATAGGGTATATGTAGGGGTTTCGGGTTCAGGACTTTGAAAATTTAGGGTGCGGGGTGTAGGACTCCGTGCGTTTTGCTACTTAAGGCTATTGAAGCGATTACCAGGGCTTTGGGGGTCTGGGGAGCCTACTTGTTTGTCCCGTTTGCCATGGTTTAGGGTTTAGGGTTTAGGGTAAGTAGACAAGGAATCTAGTGACCCAAAAACAAGTCCTCAACCCTGAATCTCGGGTGAAGGTTCCTCGGCTGACTGCCAGGATTTAGCAAACTTCACTAGCTTCATTACTTTGTGGTCAGGGCTCAAACTTTCATGTTGTGCAAATGGTTGTTCAGCTTAAAACTTCAGGGCTTAAGGCCTAGGGCATTATGGTACTCTTGCTAAACTGCTTCAGGCCTCCAGGGCTCACCCGTAGCTTTAAAGTAAAGCCCTGACGTGTCACTAGTGCGGTCCCACTACACAAGCCTTCATCGGCATAACTCCGGCATAACCCGGACCTGCATAACACTTACTTGATGCCATATGTGATGGCTCAGCTCATGTGCATCCACCCAGGGGTTCGATAATCTTTCGTGAATCATGCGCTTGTCTTGAGCAAAGGATCACTGCCGAATCACCAGCCGCGCACATCAAGAATACAGACAAGCCCGCTCGGACAAGAGCAATTTTAACTAAAGCAATTCAAGCCTTCCTGCACCTAATCCTAAACGGCTCTTGGCTGCTGCCAAACCACCGAACAAAACAACAAGCCAGATATGTCAGACCCGAAATCCGAAAATTTTGCCTGCTACCCTAAATGCTAAACCCACAGGCCCAAACCTAAGAGTTCAACAATCTACTTGGCTAAACCCGAAGCCCCAAGAGCAAACCCTGAACCTTAAACTCCCTGCGGCCGGCATGCACAAAGAGGGCTTCCCCGTCAAAGCGGCATCGGGGGCCGTGCCCCATGGCAAGGGCCACCTCACAGAACTAGGCTGTTTTCGGCTCAGGGTTTAGGGTTCAAGTGCTTTGTCGATTTTGCTCTTTTCTCCCAGGACCAGTCGGGCGTGGCTCCTCCAGGTGCCGCATGCAGAGCTGGGGTAAATAGGGTTGTGGGTCTAGGGCGTTAGGGCTTTAGGTTTAAGGTTCAGGGTGTAGGTTATAATGATAACAATGGGTTCGTCATCGTAATGCTTGGTGGCATTACCGCATTACCTATGAACACATGTTTGATCTCATCATTTCTATGATCCTTTATTCGAGACTTGAGGGCGTTTGAGCAACATTGTAGGTATCCTCCTGGAATACAGCACGGTCCCTAAACTCTGAACCCCGAGAACCCTAAGTTCTCATACACGCAAAGCAACAACCTCGTAGTCCTAAAACCTTTGATAAACCCTAAAACTTAAACCTTAAAGCCCTACACCCTCAACCCTGAACCCTACACACCGAACCCTAAATCCTACACCCTAAACCTAAACCCTAAAGCCCATGAGCCCAACATAGTCTGCAAGGCACCACAAGCGCCTGTGTAGGCGTTAGGTTGCTAGGGCCTCAAGGTCTACGGGACTTGGGAAGCAGGGTTTAGGGTTTAGAATTTAAAGTGTTGTTCGATGTTTAGGGTTTAGGGTCCACCAGCGCAGCTTGGCGCCCAAAACAAATTCATGGCCGAAATATTGCTTGGAAAACTTCATAGGGGCCGGCCCCGAGCCGCAAATCGCTGTTCGTGGTTGTGCATAGCCCAGGAACCGCAGGGGGGGCGGGGCCCGGGGGCGCAACAACTGAATCGGCCTGCAATTTCGGTCGCAGGCGGCCGTTCTGTTCGGATCCAAGCCTTCTGGAGCTGAATGGGCCGAGGGGACAGGCCGTGGAGAAGGGCGCGCCAACATCCGTCGCCCTGAGAGCAGCAAAAACCAAGCAGTGAATAAACTAATGTGCACAGCTGGCGAGCCGCTTGCAAACCCAAGCTTCAAGCCAGAAGATCCTGAAAGCAGCAAGAACCGAGCAGTGAATAAGCCAACATTGTGCGCAGCTGGCGAGTCGTTCGCAAACCCCAGCTTCAAACCAACAGATCCCCAAAGCAGCAAGAACCAAACAGTGAATAAGCCAAAATTACACACAGCTGGCGAGGGGTTTTCAAACCCCGGCTTCCAACCCGCGCTCGGGAAGTTCATATGCCTGATAGCAGGGCGTGATATCTCTTGAAGCCGACGAGCCCGCCATGGGCGTAGGAAAATATGCAGAAGACATGCTGCAGGCTAAGCCTGTTGATTGAAGCGGAAACAGTTCAGCGATGCTGGTCTTGCAGACTTGCTTCCCTAGCATCGTCCGGCTGCCAGGCTCTCAATCCTTGCCTGGGTTTCGGTTGGGCAGCCATCTCTTCGAACGAAAAACATAGATTCTCAAGGGCCCGCAGCATGCACATTACAGCTGCCGGTCCAAGCAAACCATGTGGCGGCCGACGATGTGCATGTTGACACACTTCCCGGGGCTCTTGCAACCTGGCCATCATGAGGGAAGGACATGTGCCTCTGTTAAAATCTGCTCAACACGTGGATGCTCCACCTAAGTGTTCCTTCCAGCAGGCTCTGCGGCTCGTCCCCTCCCCGACGGAACGCTGGTGGCAAGGCTGCTAAGTTGCCGGACTGTGCACATGGCCTTGGCAGTCCAATCGGTGTCAAGACGGTGCTGATACAAGGGCATTTGCCATGACAGTCAGCCTGGTGTGATGCAAATGCAACGCCGAGCCAAAGGTTCTCTGTACAAACCGCAGTTTGCAGCATGGACGTGTCGAATCAGGGGGATCCGGGTGGCGTTAGACTGCAACATGCAGCTCTGCTCCAACGTGGGGGGCCCGCGTCTATGCAGACACCCATGCATGCCTCTTTGGCGAGCATATATTAGCGCTGAGATCAGACATGTCGCGAGTTTCTTTTCGGAGGAGGGAAAGGTTCGCCCGACAAAGTGGTAAACGGCAGCCTGGGCTCGGGAGCTTGGAAGTCAGGCGTGCTGGTGTTACCTGCTGCCGTTGCCATTTCTCCAATTGCCGTCGGGCATACCAACGCTCATCCTCCCAACCCTCCCAACTGGGCGGCGGAACCGGATAAGGGTACAGCACCAGCGCCAGACCTCCCTCCGCCGTCTCCAGCCACCAGCTCTCATTGGTGTCCATATTGTCCATGCAGCCGCAGCTACAATGCGAAGTCGCCCACTTCCACGGTTTCCTTCTCCAGCACCATCCCCGTGCTCTTTCCTCCTATATAACACCTCCTAACCATAGAAGTAGCAGGTGGGCGCTCTCGCTAAGATGCCGCACATGGCGAGGCGGGGACTGGAGTTCGAAGGCTTCGAGCAAGCCGGCTGCGGCAAAGGAGCATGAGTCGGTCACGACCCACTTACCAACCGTTGCCTACCTGACTAAGCCGTTCTACCTAACTAATATCTAACTACACAACTAACACATAAAATAACTAGCTGATTAACTAGCTAACTCACTCACTCACTCACTAACTCGCTAACTAACTAAACTAAACTAAACTAAACTAAACTAAACTAAACTAAACTAAACTAAACTAAACTGAACTGAACTGAACTGAACT